GTGGAATAATGTAATAAATCCTAGAACATAAAAGGTATGATTTTGCTCACATTTAATTATTTTTCAGTTTATTCAACACCCACATCCCCTGTCATTGTTGCTACACTTGCTGAGCATGATTTGCCAAACACCATATCGGACAGATTGCATCTCTCTGGTCTGAAAACTTTTGCCTTCACACTGAACAGCCTCTTTACTGGCATGGAGGACTTTTGTTTTTCAAAGTGTCAAACCTTGTTTCCTGAAGATGAAGCTTAAAGGAAACTAGCTTTTGAGGTCAGCAAGCAGCAACATAAGGACAGATGTACTTTACTGAGTGGGAAAATAACTGATCCGCAGTGCTTTTCAAACTGCTTGTTTATATATACACATATACACTCACACACACGCACAAAAGGGTGATGCCGAAGAAATGAACAAACATTTAAAAATTCTAAATGGTGGCACCCACCATAGTCTACACTCTTAAAAATAAAGGTTTCATAAGGGGGTTTATAACGATGCCACGGAAGAAACAATTTTGGTTCTCCAAAGAACATTCAGTGAACAGAGGGGCGCGGGAAGATGTTTTCGGTTGGGGGTGCTGTGTGTGTCCATGTTAGCTGAAAGGGTGGGGGGTGGGGATCTGGTTCACTTACGTCGGTGCTTGTGCTGGGGCTGGTGTTGTTTAAATGCCGATTTTGGAAAGTTTTTGCTGGGATGGGCATTTTAAAAAAATCTGAAATTCGCTTTTGCGCCATTATCTCCTTGTATTAAAGTTAATCGTGTTCGCATTCTGTATAGTTCATGTCTGATACCACGCGCTAGCGTCACGTGTTAATGAGGATTAGGCTAATCATCCCATATAGAAAACATCCCAATTAAAATTAATCATGTTTATAAAGATAAACATGGGTTTATTATAGCCCACTTACAATTTACATTTCAGAGATCATTACAAATAAATTATTAAATGCTAAAACTGAATAAATTTAAATGAACAAACTTGGCGTTGCATTTGCATCCATGTGAAAACAGGGGGTGCTGCAGCCCCCTCAGCACCCTTACTTCCCGCGTCCCTGATGAACAGTTCTTAAAAGAACCTCTTTTGTTTCTTATTTTTTAGTATGAAGCACATTTTAATAATCTGAAGCACCTCCTTCCACTATAAATAACCTTTTTTGCAATGGAAAGTTTCGACGGATTTTAAACATTCTTCATGGAATCATAGATGCCAATAAAGAACCTTTAGTTTTATGAGTGAAGTGTTTCTCGCAAAGATAGCCTACATGATTAATACGATTGGCCCCTTACCTGCTCCTATGTAGAAAGAGATTTCCCCCTGATTTGGATGACAAAGATGTTGATAATAAAAGGAGATAAGTAGTTGGTTTAAACTGACAGGTTCAATGTGCTTAGTCCTTCAGATGCGCCATATATTACATTGATATGCATCTTACTGTCAACATGCCTCTATCTACCACCATACTTATCTCTATACATATTCCTCTTACACTAAGTGACATTGTGTAGTGCTGAGGTCACATCAATTTAAATGTCTACACACAAGCATCGAATAAAAAGAGTAAAGTACAGCACAATAAGAAACACGGTACAGAAACAGTGTGGCTTTTTACACCCGTTTTGTTCCTAAAGTAGGTTGTCTAGCTCATGACATTAGCAGAAAGACACGTCTTTTAACTACTCAACACCCATCTGAATGCCATCAAATATTTCTGGAATGATTTGAGACTATCACAGGTCATTGCTAATATGACAGAGCTTTAAAGACTCTTCCGTGTGTGCAAAGTTAGGTTACGATATCTATAAAAATAGATGGTTTTCATCAAAAGCATCTGTCTTTTTTTAAGTTATTCTACTCAGTTTTTTGCAATCTTTTTTTTAGTTATTGCGAGGTCTGCTTTTTGTAAATAGCAGTATATTTAATTCTCTTTTGGGCTTTGAATACTCCAATGTGTCATCCTTATGGTGCTTCTATGCAGACATATCTTCTCCATCATTTTCTGTCAGCTCTCAGTCACTACAATAAAAGTCTAATACACACTGGTGTTGGTGACTTTACAAACGTACATTTAAATAGCTACCAATTTCCCCACAAACTGCATTGTAACAATAAAACTAACATGTTGTGACCAATTTGATGTGCATTTTACCTGTGTTATTTCTCTAGGCACCAGTATCTCACCTCTGACGAGGGCCGTTGTGCTTTGGTCTGTCTTCTCTTAGACAGTACTGGCTGGCTGGCTGTCAGTACGCTGTGTTCCAGATAATGATTGCACTTGGTTCTCAAACAGACTATGCTGCAGCACTCCATCAGCTACACCATCTAACACATCTGCTTGCTGTAAACTTTTTTTTGAGACATTGTATAACCCCCTTTGCTCCTCACACAGAATCATTTCCTTTCCTGCAAAAGTCCATTACAAGAATTCTTTTTAGCAGCACCTCCAGACCCAACCACCCAAATCAAATCATCAGAGAAAACCGTCATCCCAAAAATCCACCCAGAATGATAGATCTGATCACCTCCACACATTATGCAATTTGCATGATATATCAACCAACTCGCGCCTTCTTTATTTAGACTTTGAGATGTTTGTGTCCTTTACCATCATATTAACATACTGTATTTCAGATAAAAGAATGGAAGAAAAATGTTTTGAAGTATAAACTCAGCGGGCCTCTTCTGTTTCAGCAATGACAACACTCCCATTAGGTGAGTGTAATGATGCAATACATCAAAAATCAAAGATAAAAGCATAAGCAGCCACAACATCTACCTTTAAAAAAGTGGTTATAAAATAGCAACAAAAAAAATGTTCTACATCAAGATTTTCAAAGCTACAATTACATCTGATATAGTCAGACTATTCATTGCAAGAGGTTAGAGGTATAGTTCACCAAAATCATGATATTGCAGACATGTATATCTTTCTTCTGCTCTCTCTCGCTCTCTCTATTCATTCCAAAATGGGGCTTTCACAGCAATGCCATAAAAGATCCAAAAACATTTCAATGAACAGTTCTTTAAAATTATTAGTTTCGTTGAAGAATATTTAAGCAATCTAAAGAACCTTTTTCCACTATAAATCACATTTTTGTGAAATGGAGGATTACATAAATGTTAAAGGTTTTTCATGGAACAATCAATGCCAATTAAAAACCTTTATTTTTAAGTGTAGCAGAATGTCCAAGCTGCTCATTTCGTAACAGTGTAAGTGGATTGGGACCAGTGACATTTCATTGTGACAGAGCCATTTTATTTTCCAAATATTTTCAAAATACATGCTCAAAGTGACAGGATATATAAGACCTTTCTTTGAATGCCTTATGTCAAAATACAAGTGCACTGGAAAATTTTAAAAACAATTATCACAAGAAACATCACATACCATCTGGTATTTTCACTGACCACCGATTAATGAATGACCTCTGCAAATACATATTGGAAACTAAATTAGTCATAAAACATGCACAACGAGCATACGTAAGGACACTTGAAACAAGGACCACTTCAAGAGCTGAAAGGCGTCTTTGAAGAGGATGACTTTATGGTTACTGAGAAAAGAAATTAAGATATGCCTTTTTAAATCCTCTAATGTTTGACATTAAAATCATTTAAAGGTTCTCAAATCTCAATTGCCTGTAAACAATTGCCGGAGTAATTTTCGTAATTTTGTCAAACCATTTACAGCTTTGGTTCATGGTGCCATTAAGACACTAGTCTGAATGACATTCTCAGTAATGGCAGCCAGTGATGTCTGCATAGCCAGCAACGTTCTACACAACCACAAGTGAACGTGCAATTCATACAGGCAGTGTAATATAATGTGATCTAATCAGCTTGATGTCTTTAATAAGCATTCAGCAAATTGAATTTATTCAAACTTTTTTAAAAGGAATAGTTCACCGTAAATACTTCACATTATTCACTCACCCTCATGTCGTTCCAAACCTGAATTACTACTTCTTCCATGTTTTACAGAACAGCATGACTAATTGATCACAGAATATCATTTTTGGTGTAAACTATTACTTTAATCACTGCATCCATTCACAATGTATCCTTTTTACAGTATATGAGGGTGTGCTGCTTGTACCTCATTACGATTCAAGATTTTAGATTTTCAAGGGCTTAGTATTAATTATCATCTCATTAAGTCTTATATAACTCAGAAGTGATATAGATATTATGAACCATATTATGAACATCATTTCACTCTTAAATGATTACATTTTTTGACAACATCTCCATCTTATCCCAGGATGAATAAACAGTGACCAAATGATACTCAGAGGGGGAAAAAATATAATTTTGTTAAGAAATGCATCAAGTAATCCTCAGCAAACTTTTGACCTGTTAAATGATGTATGCATAATACAGAGCAAAACCTAACAGCAGCTGTGTGGGCCGTTATAATTTGTGTTTTGTGCTTCGTAACGAAAAAAACAATATTCTAACTCTCATAGTATGGCAATGAAAATGAAACACTGAGAGATTTTTTATAATTTTTTTATTTTGGGAGTGTGATCCCGGTATAACCAATGTATCCTTTTTACAGTATATGAGGGTGTGCTGCTTGTACCTCATTACGATTCAAGATTTTAGATTTTCAAGGGCTTAGTATTAATTATCATCTCATTAAGTCTTATATAACTCAGAAGTGATATAGATATTATGAACCATATTATGAACATCATTTCACTCTTAAATGATTACATTTTTTGACAACATCTCCATCTTATCCCAGGATGAATAAACAGTGACCAAATGATACTCAGAGGGGGAAAAAATATAATTTTGTTAAGAAATGCATCAAGTAATCCTCAGCAAACTTTTGACCTGTTAAATGATGTATGCATAATACAGAGCAAAACCTAACAGCAGCTGTGTGGGCCATTATAATTTGTGTTTTGTGCTTCGTAACGAAAAAAACAATATTCTAACTCTCATAGTATGGCAATGAAAATGAAACACAGAGATTTTTTATAATTTTTTTATTTTGGGAGTGTCATCCCGGTATAATGATATGTAACATTTACAAACTGTTCCCTCCAAACGCAAGTCTCCTCTTTTTTTAATAAAACCTTAAGTTGTGGGTTCTAACCTGAAGAGACACAACATGCACAAAACTGTGGATTGGGGTTTGACAGAACATGAGGTTTATCTGATGCAGTACTTACAAAAGCTTAGGAATATGAGCAAAACAGCCATCAGTGGTTAATGTTTGAAAAGGGAAGGGTAATTTAGTATTTGTGAAATGAACATCAAAATATAATCAGCCTTGTTACAGAAAATACAAAACGGTTAAAAGAAATGTTAAATACCACATTTGATTTGGTTAATGTTGGCATCCAGCTTGATTTTAATGTTCTCATTGTCAACCCACTCATCATAAAAACTGAAACTCTAAAAGAATCAATTAAAAAAGGCACATCAGCCAAGGTCACACACCGGCTGCTATTTTGCATGTAAATTGATAAAAAAAATGTTAATGTTATGCATTAGAGCAAACAAATTCAAGAAAAACATTCAAAACACTGACAATAGTTAACACGTTTCAAGATTTGAAGAAACAAAGGTTTAAAACAAAAAATGCACAACAGTGAACTACATCTATTTAGTAATCACTGTCAAACCCAAAATGACCTTCACCAGTACATAAGCAAGAAAAACAATGAGTGCGTTTTATGAATATTTAGTGTCATGCTCCAAATTCCTCAGTCTGTGATGACTGTATGCCCCCCAAACCACTGGACGTTTTCAATCCGGGGTAGTTGATTGAATTAAAATCAATGACAATCCTGCCTTGCTTTGGCTTGAATTGCCTGTAGGACAGAAATAAACACAGAAAAAAATATATCACTGAAGCATAATAATAATAATAATAATAATAATATTAATAATTCATTACATTTATATAGAGCTTTTCTAGGCACTCCAAGCACTTTACACTGTCAGGGGGTATCTCCTCAACCACCACCAGTGTGCAGCATCCACCTGAATGATGCGACGGCAGCCATAGTGCGCCAGAACGCCCACCACACACCAGCTTATTGGTGGAGAGGAGACAGAGTGATGAAGCCAATCAGTAGATATGGGGATTGTCAGGAGGCCATGATGATCAGAGGCCAATGGGCAAATTTGGCCAGGACGCCGAGGTCACACCTCTACTCTTTTGAAGCATGACCAAATAAAACATAGTTTTTCACTCCAATCAAATCTGAGCCCTCCTTTTAAAATACCTTGATAAAAATGAGAGAAAGAGAATTCAATTCTTGTCCTCATTGTCACACTAGTAATTCACCTCAGCATGCTGGAGTTGAGGAAACCAATAACACACTAGACCTCATGAGAGAATACAAGCAGTAACCCCTCCATAAGGCAATCCCAGCAGGGACCAAGCACCCCAACATCTCATGAGAAAAAACACTGCCAAGAAGAACCAAACTAGCAGGTGGTAAACTCCCTATTTTCCCACTTATAGCCTTGTCTTCTGCGACTGCTCCACAAACCCTGCTTTTATTTTTTCCCTCTTCTTAATTCACCTTCTACCCCACTCTTTTTACTCTTCATTTGTTTTTGTTTTATTAATCCCTCCCTCTCAGTGTGAGATGAGCTGGATGTAGCAAAAATCTATTCCTCATCATCAAACCTCTATAACAATAAAGACTAATACAAATAAAATATCTACTGACAGCAAAAGTATTCAAAGACTTTGTCCACGAACAACCACAAAGCTTTGTCTCTCGCTTCCCCATGTTCCTTAATGCAAAGCCGGCTTCAGTGAATGTCTGAGCAACTCGATTCATCATCTCATTCAGAATTAAGAATGCAGGATTCTGCACAGCAATGGTGAGGTTTCAATAAGACCTCTGTCCATCCTTCATTCCCTCTTCATATGCCACTGAAAAAAAAAAAACACCTGAAAACAGTCTACAGCAGTTCACTGTTCGAGTCAAAGTAAAGTCTAAATCTTTTATTGGACACACACTGGTAACTGAAACCTTTTTCCCACAGGACGAAACTGTGCATATTTAAAAATAAGAAAATAGAAAGATTGATTATGCAAGCTAAACATAAAAAAAATACATATATATATTAGGGCTGTGGCTACATATATATATTAGGGCTATGGACAAAAAAAAACCATCGCGATTTCTTTGATAAATTTCTTTGATTTAGCCTGGTGGGTTTTAGTTAAATGTGAGCCAAAATCATCACAATTAAACAGTTTTTCTTTTTTAATAAATCTGCAAAACTGTCAACAATTCTGTGTTTTTCTGTCAATATGGTGTGCTGTGTGTACATTAATGAGGAAAAAAAATTAACAAATGATTTTAGCAAATGGCTGCAATATAACAAAGAGTGAAAAATTTAAGGGGGTCTGAATACTTTCCGTACCCACTGTATGTATATGTATATATATATATATATATATGTATATATATGTATATATATATATATACACACACACATATATATTAGGCCTGGGCGATAAAACTATCTATTTATCGATGGTACACCTTCGATATAGCGCACAGCACACACCTGCCTGTGATGAGGAGACTGTAAATAAAGAATGAATATTAGTCGAATTTAAAATAAACATTTGCCATGTTAGGTGTGCATCAGGGAGCATCAGTGGCGCGCGAGATGCGGTGATGTTGTAAGTGACGTTGTTGCATTTTAATATTTTGTTAGCCTAGCCCATGAGACGCACCGCTGCTGCGATATTCATTCAAACTATTAGAGAAATATAGACGCTCAATGCGGAGAAGATCTTGATTAGGTTAAAACCGAAACCAAGCCATTCACACACAATGCATATTCAGCGCATTTTTTTAGTCGGACAAATATGACTGCTGCACTCGCGTCTCACAAGAGATGTATAGAAAGCCAGCGTAATGCACGTTTTTTTATAGTTACTTCCTTGCGTTGACAATTTAAATGCGCTGCATTATTTTGTTCATTCCACCCTCCTGTGGCCTCGGGAAACAAGCCAAAAGTTTCCTCAAGACCTATTTAATCAGCATATAAAACATAAGAAATTAGATATTAGTTTAATTTTTATTTTGTGTTTGATTGTTAAAACAAAAAAAATGTGTTGTTTGTCTCAACAAATTGGGTTTAATTAAAAATACAGTGGTTAAAATGTAAAAAAAAATTCTATTGCTCTTTGTTTTAAAAAAATAATTATCGATACCGAACGATATGAAACATATCGTTGAAACTTTTTTTTAGCTATATCGCCTAGCCCTTAAATACCCTATAGCTCTGCAATCAAAGAGCTGAAGCGATGGAAATGCAGAGATTGAGCAGGCCAAATTCACAGTAATGCTGGAAGTATTGGAGAACAACCTTCAAAAAGTGGCAGCAGGGGAATTAACCCTGCTACCCTCAAAGACAGGCAAGAGGCATGAAAGTATCTTCAAGGATTTCCTGATTTTCATCTTCAGGCGGATCTACTCTTTTTGTCTCCTCAGGCTCATGTCCCCCTAGTCCTATTTGATCTGACTCTGATGAAAGGCTTCAGAGTATATTTACCGTGCATCTATATATAGCGTGTACATACAACTGGGGAGATGAGATTTCCATCCTGTCCGCTCTTGCTGTGGTTCCCGCTGGCTCCCTCTATCTTAAAGAGGACCGTGTTTGGACTGCAAACCCCACAGAGAGTTCAGTTAAGTTGTCAGTTAACCCTGTGTCTCATCAGGGGTAAAAAAGTGAAGAACTTCTAAATTCACATTATACGTGTCGAAGGCTGTTAAATGTTTGCGTTTACATTTTGCTCTTTTAGTCCCAGTGCTTTTGAACTTTATGCTGACACCTAGCACGATATGGGGTGGGCAATATGACCGAAATCTTATTTCATGATATGATAAATTTTATTTCACAATAACAATATATATCATGATTTAGTTATATGTTAATTTTTGTTATTAAAAAACAAAAACAAATTACAAACAACTGGACAAATACAATAAAACAAAGATACAAATAAAGGGGTCATGAACTGCCTTTATTATTTTGTACTGTTCTCTGAGGTCCACTAATAATGTTATCAAGATTTTTACATCAAAAACCATCATAATTTAGAAGTAATCGGCTATTTTCTGTTCTGTTTTGACCCCCTCATCGGAACACTCGGTTTGAATAGGTGTGGCAGATTGTAGAAGTAAATGCCCACTGCTATGATTGGCTAACAGTTGTGTATGTTTGACAGCCTACATTCATTCATAGATGCATGCTGCTGTGATTTAGGTTAAAAACGCATAAATACTCCGTACATATCAAAACGATCTGTAATAACAAAGCAATAGTGATCATGTAATAACACAGTTACTCACACTAGTGTGGTGCGACATTACTGTCAGATCCAATATATTCGGCACAGCAACGTCTTTTAGTTTCAGTCTTTCTGAAAATCCTACATTGAATTGTGCTTTGTTTGCAAACGAATCCGTGGTAAAATGACGTGAACAAAGGACCAAGTTCTTACTGATGAGGTCTGGATCTTCATTAAAAATTAAGTTCATCCACTCTTTCCTAATGTTGGGATCAGAAGGAAGGCTATGCAAAGACTGTTTTTTTCCACAACTTGGCACTGCACAGTTAACTTCGGAGCCATCTTTATTGTTTGGTTTCTGTGTAGACCTGCGTTTGCCTCTCTCGTTGTTTACCCACCAAGTGTGGAATCGGTGGGCGAGGCTAAACAGGCAGTGATGTAGAAGCAGGCGTTGATGATCTTCTGCGGAGGGCAGGGTTTAGCCACACTATTATGTCATAAAGTGACGCATTCCAGAACCTGTCGTTTTAGCAGATTGGCTTCAATATAAGCTGTTTTTAGACTAACGAGAAAGTTTTGAGTTCTGAAACTTACAGGATGTTTTTAATACCGGTAGTATATTATACCTCTTATATGTCAAAACATCAAGGGAATTTTGATTTCTCAGTTCATGACCCCTTTAATTAATTTAACAGTCAAGAAATACTACAGAAATAATCAAATATAAAAATAAAACTCATATAATTCACTGTAATAATTAAATGTAAATTGTAAATAGATTCTTATTAAAGATAGATACAAAAGTTACTCAGTTAAGAGTAGTGAGTGAATTTGTTTTTCTTTTGTTGTTTGATTAACATTAATGACACAAGCAGCAGCAGGTTTATTATGCTACTGTCACCTTAAAGGGGTTCACCCAAAAATAAAAATTCTGTCATCATTTACTCGCCCTCAAGTTGTTCCAAACCATTCAGACTTACTTTCTTCTGCTGAACAAAAAAGATGACATTTTGAAGAATGTGGGTAACCGAACAGTTGCTTTTCCCCAATGACTTCCATAGTTTATTTTTTCCCTATACTATTGAAGTCAATGGGGACTATCAACTGTTTGGTTACTCAAATTCTTCAAAATGTTTTCTTTTGTGTTGTGATATGGTTTAATTTCCTATGGAGTATGAGCCATATGCAGACTTTTACACAGTGCTTACTCATTCTTCCCCAAGCTTTTTTCCGAAGGCTCACAGAAGCTTTTTGAGGCTTTAGGTCAAACATACACCCACACATCTGAGGGTCGGGCTCCGTAACAGCCTTGATTGTACAATCATTCGGGCCAGTAAGAACTGACAGGAATGCAAATTAAGCTTCTTAATTTCCAAGCCACACACCAACCCCTTACTAAGGTCAAACTCGAGAGACTCACTTGTACGTGATGCCCGCCAAGTTAAGGAGCCGTCTGGAGGCAGTCATTTCTGGAGTGTTATGGTATTTGTCTGACAAATAGATCACATCCTTTATACCTGTAAGGAAAAAACAGCAGAAGAATAGAGTGGGTCAGACAAAAGCACACTTGCACACACACAAACAAACAGACAGAGAAATTTAAACAAACAGGCCCAAGGAGAACAGGGACCCAAAATAGCCTGTTAGGAATGAACAAGAGCTTGCGCTCGGGGGAGAAAGAAGGGAAGTCGATAACTTGTCGCTGCAGGCTCAAGCCAATATCAACCAATCCCAACTGAGACCAAATCTGCCCTGCTGGTGTCTTTAAAACACGTGGTGAATTTGGCTGCACCCCCACACATCCTGCTGACTACTCACAAGCGGCCCACATGAGGCGATTCTATAAAAGGCCCCATTAGCCAAGCTTTACAGAGAAATGTGAGGAATCTGGTGAAACCACTTAGACTCCCCTCTTGCCCTTAATGCTTTCAAGAGGTGAAAAGAGAAGTCCAACATTGCCAACGGTTGTTGCAATCGCAGATGAATATACCGGAGAAAAACACACCCACCCCCCAAAATACACACCGTCTCCATCATGTACGTTTATCTGCACAGGAGGAGAGAAGTGCTCTGATCGAAGGCAAAATTACTTGCACAGAGTGAATTCCACCTGTCATTAAAGGCTGTCATCACAAGCATGGGGCCTCTCCATGGTATTACTTGAACTATTTTTGAGAGGGAACAGATGAAATTACCATGGAGCAGCCTCGCTATGCCATCTTAAAACCATTTTGTTGGAGACATTTTATGGTGCAGAAGGGGGGAAAAAATACTTTGTATATCCAAGTCTACGGGCTATTTAAAATAAAAAGCAAACACTCAATCGTGTCCATAAAATAAAATAAAATAAAAAGTTTAAAATGTTCTAACTAAAAGGAAGTCAGAAGAAATTGCAGTAGTGTTTCCATGTAAACACGTCTTTTCATGAAAAGAACATAAGAATAAGCATCGGAGCTGCTTAAAACACTTCCAAGACGACAAGCTGTCCAACAGAAGGGAGGGCTCTGATGGAAGGTGGAGCAGAACTCTGGAGATGCTACGTTTCCAGAATGCTCTCTGGAGATGAGGTGACAGTACAGTCCCTCAGTCCCTCCAAAAACAGTCATAGGAAGTGACAAGATGGCAGCTGCTTGGAAACTGAACACTTTAATTCCTCAGAGAAAGGAGAGGCTCTAAAGCAGTGATTCAGAAACTGACGTGGCTGGCACAGAGGAGCCAAAGTGCAGGGGGACATCAACATGGGAGCCAGAGAAAGTGAAAATGATTTGGTGTCATTTCATTCTGTGAGATTGAAAGATGGACACATTTGAACGGCATTCAAAAAGAGCAGGAACACTTTCTCACTGGAGGAATAGCTACAGAATTAGATACAGAGAGGGGTGTGTGTGTAATATCTGGGGACTTCACTTTCTTAATACCCACATCTCATTTACTATGAAAAAAAAAAACTGGAGATGGAAAAACAGTGGAAAAACGTTAAATTCTGTACAAGAAGAGTTGTCAAATGACCAACACGGCACACATTTAAGAATACGACTAAGGCAAATTAAAGCAGTGTCTCTGGCACAAAATGCATATTTCGATGGCACCAAAATACTGGAAAAACCTTCATTCTAATAAATCCCTCTGGTTATAATTAAATTATGCTACAGTTTTCCATTAGAGAAGCACAGACTAGCAATATCAAAAGGTTTACCATGCACAAATAAACAAGATACAGCCCGGTTGCCTTTATAAGAGAATCAAGGTGGATTCGCATTCCAAGTCTACTAATATTCCCCTTTATCCTCATGTTTTTTCCATGCAGAGGCTTTTCTGTTTCCTCATATCATGGCATGGGGCTTTACAACTTCTAGTAAACAAACGCGGCCATAACACCTTCAAAATGAACAAACAGCGATGACACCCCTGACTCAATTCTTTTAAACTCAGCATTCAAACATTAAACATCCGCTTTGTTCAGCTCCATCTGATTGCCATCATCAGAGGGCGTTTTTTAATGAGGTTGGATGTTCATTTTTAGCCGCATTTTGTTGCATCCTATAGAGTGCAAGGAGACGAAAGGGAGAGAAAGTGCTGTGTGTGTTCCTTAATGATGCCAGAACATTGAGAGGAACCTGACACCCCACTGAGAGATGGGCCAGGGCAAGGCCAAGCATCCTGAAGATCAGACAGCATTGGAGCGTGTGTCATGCTATCTTCAGCACACAGCTTCAGTAGGCTTTGCCACAAGAGTACATGGAGGGGGATCAGGAAAAGCAAACCAAAGAAAGAGAAAGAGAAGATGAGGACAAAAAGACTTGGAGGGGAGGAGAGAGACTAGGGATGGGGGTGTTAAGAGAGTTCAACAGATAAGAGGAGATTGAAAATAACAACAGAGCAGGGTTTGGAGAAGGAAAAATAAGAGGAAGACAACCTGTCACCATGTAGGCCATTGAGAACCTCGGTTTCCACCTGTCTTATCCGTCATTTTCATTTTCATGCAGCCACATCAGCACTGACACAAAGGCTCAAATATCGGAGCAGAAATGCTGATCCTGTGTGTGAAGTGCAAAGACGGAATGGAATAAATGCATAATGCTTGCTATGCAATCCAATAGGGGTGAAAGGGTTGCCAAAAAAAAGTTTGATGCTCGGGGTTCGTACCACGTTGCACCTTGTGTCTTTCTCAGAAAAGATAAATATTAAATGTGTTTGAAAAGTGCCTGTTTTCAAGCATAATAACAGTAATCCTTGTCACTAAATCTCTGTACTGTTAAGAGGACAAAGAAACCAAACATAAGAAACCATGAACTAAATAAGTTATTTGATATATCTCAGACTATACTTGAGGCATATAAGTAGCAGGCGGCATTCGGACTGGGTGAACAATCAATAGGAATTATTTGAGAGCACATGCACGCTCTTAGTCACACTTCACGACACGCATGAGAGACAAAGCCAGCTGCATTTTGTTAACTTAAAGAAAAGCTTAAAGAGGGTAAACAACTCTTTTACTCAAATTATTCTCACTGGAGCGGTGTTGGTGCTAGTATTAAAAAATTATTTATTTTAAATGCACCTAGGTCAATATATCGGCCGATATTTGGCATTTTTCAAATATCGGCATTGGCCGATAAGTTTTTCTGTTTGGCCGATGAGTTCGAGGCGGGACTTTTATTTTGACGGCACTGAGAGAGGCAGCACCTGCGCACACAGTGTTCACATTCTCCTTGTTCGCTGTATTCGTTAACAGTTCTGTCTAATATGGACAGAAATCCGTCTAATAATCAGAAAGAACTGTTAAACAAAGGAATTAAAATGTATACAAAAAAGTATTACGATTGCTTTTATATTATTAGTTATAGAAAGGCAAACATAATACTTTCTCGTTTTCCATCAGGATTCCGCAAATATGCATTTATATAATTTAAGCAAATCTTTGAATGACTAACGAACATTTAATTTAAAAAATCTTGCAAACTTAAGTCGGATCCAGCTGTGAGATCTTGTGAAGTGTGCATTTGTATCCTGCATGATCGCGTGTTTTCTGTGTGACGATCGGTCCGTGCGAATTGAATGCTGACAGGAGGAGAGTTCAGCTTCACTAGAGACGCGCGATCGACAAACTTAAAACTCAGGATTTATAATTATGCTGTGCTTCATGCTTTTGCCCACTGTCATATTCATGTCATTTTCACTGCGTGCTTTATGTAAAATGAGTGTTACCTCGGCTTTATTTGAAAAAATATGATTCTTAAATCCCAATACACAACAAACTTCCCAGATTATGGAGTGTACTGTGTTCTGTTACTGTAGGTAACGGTGTTTAGTTCCTTTTTAATTATATTTTTATTAAATATTTATTTGTTAAAAATTCTGTAATCTAAAGTACAAGCATGATTATTTTACACATTTATTTTTAATCCATTTTCAAATGACTTATAATTACCTAAATATTAATTAAAATAAATAAAATTATATCGGCCATCCTGCTTTCCGAGATATCGGCATCGGCTGTCAAAAAAACAAAATCGGTCGACCACTAGTTGTAATGATATTCAAACCGAATATGCGTCCAGAGTCTTCATGTCTAGCACAGTCAAGTTCGCTTGTGAAGCCACTCATAGCCTTTTGTGGAACTGTAAGTTGCAATATTGTTTATATAAAATATTGTGTATAGATTATCTCATATGCATTTGGTTGAGTTACGCTGCAGTAAAGCACTTCATTGTAGGACTACTATGGTGATTATCTCTTCAGCGCGAGGAGCACAATCAACAATGCAGAATATTAATCACTATGAATGGGGCTGTCATATACATAACATTATAATGAGAACACTATTATAGCCTAATAAAACGCTTTTAGAGTTTAGTTGCAGTGTTTCTGCACGTTGTTGCGTGGAGAGCGTGTCCACAACAGGAGTTAAGTTACATATTCAGAGCAGCACAGACACGTTCACTTGTGTATTCGTGTCATTTTGTGCAGATCTAAGTCGTAATATTAGGGTTACGTAGCATAAATAACAATGTGTATCGTATAGGAGATAAATCTGAGGAGTTAAATCCCCATTGATTAAAAACCCGCTATCAAAGTGCTTCATTGTACTGGTGATCTTCAGCACGTGCAGCTCAAAACAGAAATGCAGAACATTATTAACTATGACTTGGACTGTCAACATAACATTATAATGAGAGCAATATTGTAAAAAATGTTGTGAATTCTTAGGGTTAAGCTGACGTTTTCAGTGTGTTATTACAAAGAGCACATCCACAGGAGGACACATTCTGACTACGTAACTTCGTTCAAGTTCACTTGTGCTTGATTTTGTACAATATAATCAGGGCCTGAATTTCGCTGCGGGATTGCGGGCATTGCGCGTAATTTTACACATTCCCACAGGTTTTGCAATTATAAAGTGAAAAAAAATTCCCACAAACAATTATGCACTATAGCATGTAAACAGTGAGAGTGATTGGGATTGAGTGGTACCGCGTCTTCTAGTTAAAAGTTAAAAGTGAATCTAGTGTTCTTT